AATCTTAAAAACACATGCACACACAAAAACAGCCCTCAAGAAAGTGAAAAGACAATCCACAAAGTGGGAGAAAAATATTTGTTAGTCATATCTCTAGATAATGTATCTAGAAAATATAAGGAACTCTTACCACTCAAAAACAAAGACAACCCAATTTAAACATGGATCTGAATAGACATTTCTCCAAAAAACATAGAAAAATGACCAATAAGCACACAAAAAGATGTTCAACATAGAGAAATGCAAGTCAAAAGCACAATGTGTATGTCAACTACAATTAAAAATAAAATTTAAAAGCTCAAAGAAAACTCCAAGATACAACTTACCAACTGCTAGGATGGCTATAATCAAAGAGAACAAGTGTTGTGTTCTTTGTTTGATGTGGAGAATTGGCATCCTCACACACTCCTGGTGGGAATGTAAAATGGTACCGCTGCTTTGGAAAACAGTCTGTGGGTCTTCAAAGGATTAAACACAGCTACCATAGGACCCAGCAGTTCCACTCCTAGCTATATACCCAAAAGAAACAAAAACATACATACACACAAAAAAGTGAACAAGGGCTGGCCGAGTGGCGTGTTGGTTGAGTTGGCTTGGGACGCCAGCTCTGAGCATTAGGGTCCCGGTTCAGATCCCACATTAGGGCCAGTGACACTGCGCCCTCTACAGCTAAGATGGTGAACAACAGCTCGACCTGGAGCTGGGCTGCTGTGAGTTGCCGGCGATGGCGTAGGCTGCAGCCCCTGCTGCAGTGGGCTGCCATGAGCTACCATGAGTGGCTGGCAGCTGGCGTGAACTTTTGTGAGCTGCTGTGAGCCGGCGTGAGTGGCCATCCAATGGCCAGCGAGCGATTGCCTCACCTGGGAAGAGCGCAATGATAATACCAACATGGGCCAGTGAAGAGACAGCCTCCACAACTAGACTGAAGAACAAAAGGACAGCAACTTTTCTGTTCCCCTCCCCCAACTCCCCAATAAAAACCTTAAAAAAAAAAAGCACAAAAATGTTTAGAGCAACATTATTCTTGATAGCCAAAAGGGGGAAACAATCCAAACGTCCATCAACTGATGAATGGATAAACACGATGTGATATGTTCACATGGAACATTAAGTGGTAATAAAAAGGAATGAAGTACTGACACCTGCTACAACATGGATCAAACTTGAAAACATTATGTTAAGTGAAAGAAGTCAGTCACAAAAGACCACAAACGTAATTCCATTTATCCGAATGACCAGAAGAGACAACTCTATAGAGAATATACTTTCTTAAGAGGGAAGTAGTGGTTGCCAGGGGCTGGGCTGGGCTTGGGATGGGAGGTGACTGATGATAGGTATGGGGTTTCTTTTTTGGGGTGATAAAGATGTAAAATTGATTGTGGTGATGGTTACACAACTGAATATACTAAAAACCTTTCAACTGTACACTTAAATGAGTGCATTGTATGGTATGTGAATTATATCTGAACAAAGCTGTTAATAACAACACAAATAAGACAAAACCTCAGCCCTGCGTCAATCGCCTTACCACCCATGCACAACCTGGGTTCTCAGCTTTATGTGCAACCAGTCACACAATTCTCCTTATCCATGAAACCTCAATTTATATTCCATGAATTTGGAATTTAAAATTTTAAATAGAGGCTGCAGTATGGATTAGCTCTGCTTTATTTAGAGAAAAAAGAAAATTGCAGGGTGTTATCAGGACTGCTTAAGGAAAATTTCAATCATCTTGAAATATTTCAGAATCTATTAACAATCATGTTTGTTAAGTGCTCCCACAGCAAAAACGCTTACTGCCAATCACCACAGAACTTCATAATCTATTATTTCAAAATCACATTTAACTAGCCCTATATCCAATCTACATACTCCCAATTTTATAAATTAAACCTTGATACTCAAGACAGGGCCGGCCAAGTGGCTCAGCTGGTTAAGAGTGCGAGCTCTAAGCAACAGGATCGCCAGTTTGATTCCCACAGGGGCCAGTGAGATGCGGCCGAGCTAAGCTGCAGCTGAGCTGCCAACAGGTGGCAGGATGGCTCAGCTGGTGAGAGCACGTGCTCCTAACAACAAGGTTCCAGATTCGACTGCCGCATGCGATGGTGGGCTCCGGCCCCTGCAACTAAGATTGAACATGGCACCATGAGCTGAGCAGCTGTGAGCTGCCTACGGATGGCCGGATGGCGACTAGACTTGGAGCTGAACTAGCTGCGCCCTCCACAACTAAGATTGTAGGACAACAACTTGGCTGTTCCCCTTCCCCAATTCCCCCAATGAAATCTTAAAAACAATAAACAAACACTCAAGACAAATTTACCATTATACCAGTGACATGCAATAAAGAAATTATCTTTCTAGAACTTCACTGTCCAACTTGGTAGCCAATGACCTCATGTGGCTATTAAGCACTAGATATGTGACTAATCCAAACTGAGATATATTGGAAGAGTAAAATACACACTAGATTTTAAAGGTTTAGTACAAAAAGAATGTAAAATATTTAGCATCTTATATTAATTACATGTTGAAATATTTTGGATATATTGGTTTAAATAAAATACAATTAGAATTAATCTCCCCTCTTTTTACTTTGTTAATGGGGCTATTAGAAAATTTTAAATGACATTATGTGGCTCACATTTTATTTCTATTGGACTAGAGAAACATTTAGAGCTTTTGAGGGGACAGCAAGTATGCACTAGAAAACAAGAGCTTTGAATAACTTCTCCCATTATAGTTGACTGCTGCCATCTCTTTTACATACTGGTCACTTGCCAGGAGTCTTGAGCGCAGGTACAAAAGCTGTAACACAAAGTCATCATTGTACTCCTATGAGAAAACGAATTCATATGGTCTCTCTCGCCATTCTTGCTTTTTGCAGCTGCTGCTTTCATAAGCTACAGTACATGCCTGCCAAGGAGAGTTTAATTACAGCCGTTTTTTTTTGGGGGGGGGGCAGGGGAAGGATAATTTTCCCATATGGAGCAACAAGGTCACAGCGCCTTGAAGACTGATTTGACTAAACCTTTGGACGAGGTCTTTAGATAAAAGCAGGGGTAGAAAAGAAAGGAAAAAGGATCCTGGTGATACTGGAGGCAGCCGGCCTCCAGTATGAAAAGCATGAAACGGAGTTTAAGGAAGACTCCTAGGGTGATCTGCTTCAAGTGGGCGCCCCTTAAATCGTCAGTGTGAGCCCTGGATCCAGTGGCAGTATAGTCCCCGTGCCCGTGAACACGCCTTACTGAGCGCTGGCCTTTAATCGGTAGCATCACGGATGTCCCACCTGATCAGCGTGGACTCTTGTGCATCTCGGTGACAGGTTTGTTACCTGGGGCAGTGCTGTCCAGGACAGCAGCCACTGACCACACACATGGCTCTGAAGCTGCTAAGCTGTGGCTGGTGCGACTGAGGAGCTGAATTTCACATTTCAGTTAACTTGAATTTCAATTAACCACATGTGTGCGGGTCTGGAGGCTTGCTTCCCAGGTTGGCAATGCAGACCAGCAGCACAGGCACCCTTGGGGAGCGTGAGATGCAGTGTTTCTGACTCCACCGGGAATCCTGAAATACGCTCTGCAGTATAAAAAGACTGCTAGATAACTCCCATGCACATTCAAGTTTGGAAAGCACTTACCTACACAGGGGGTCCTATTTGAATACCCTCAAGGTATAAAATTGTATAAAAAGTTAGCATACACACATATGTACACACACACACATACACACACTCCCCCTTATTTTTTAGTGCAAAATTAGCCACAAAATGCATTCCGGCGCAAATACCAGTTTGTGCAAATTTATACTGCCTGGAACAACTGGTGAAGTTTTAAGTACTAATGTACTATTGCAGCTGTTACCAATTTTTTGGTTGATTCAGGAATCCACCAAGAAAAAAATTTTTATTAGTATAACGGGTCTAGTTATTATCTACAACATGCAACCATGAGTAAAAAGCTGCTGGCATGAGCTCAATCATTTAGCTTCCTTTTTCATTAGTAAACAGTGCTGGTTTTACATGATCATAAAAAATAATGATCTTTTATTATTTCTTTTAGCAAAAATGTAGGAACAATGACACTTTCATGTTGAGGATGAGGGTGTGGCTGCTTTCGGGCTTTGTAAATCTGCCCTAGAAGAACTTCACCATTTGTTAAAGTCCCTGGAATTAGGTGGTACGCCCCCAAGTCTCAAAACGGTTCTAAGAATCTGCCTTGAATTGTGATTTTCCCACTGGTGTTTAAGAGACATGCACACACTGGAGCTGGCTGATGCAGCCAGGAAAATGAACTCATCACAGAGCCATACGTATTTCCCAGATGAAGGAAACGTTTATAAGTTTAGCCCCATTTTTTTTTTGGTAATGTAAATTTATAAATGCAGAACTACTGAATGCACTGGCAACAGGCAGTTAAGTCCCTTACTAAATAACCTTTTCACTAATTAGTCTGATGAAGGAGAATAATTTACTAGTATTGGAAAGTACAAACAGACCAACAGACGTTTAATAAACTTGGTCTTTGTAGGACAAAAGATTCTTCAGAAACTACCCAGTTAAAAGAGTAACTTACCATGATATTTAATTTTTTTTTTTAATCTCCACAGTGTGAAGGATGTCATTAAAATACAGCAACTGAAAAACAGTTCTCAATCTTGTTTCCGCTGCCAGATACGGGACAAATGTCCTTGCCCCTCCCATGTGTGATGTTCCTGGCAGGGTAGCTCTCCTCCATCCCTGTCTTTTCCACTCCTGAAAGCACACTGGAAGGCCAGCGAGAGGTGCTATTGTAAGAGTGACCCTGAATCCAGGCCAACATGCTCAGTCAGTCATACAGTTTGATGATCTATCATATTATCTCATGATGCCTCACCCCTGATCATGAGACACCTTTGTGTCAACACCATTTCTGAGGCTCCCTCATTAGCCCCTTGCCTTCATTCAGGGCCAAGATTCACATTTGTAGTTTTTGATATTTATTTATTAATACAACCAGTAGAAATAAGTTTTTAAAAATATTTATTATATTTGGTTCTAGAAATGATAGAAAATAAAAATTGGTACAGTTATGTCACAGACCCTTGGAAAGGTATAGTGATCCTCACACAAGAGAAAAGTTTTATGCAATGCCAGAAACGGAAATACCTAGGCTGTTGGTGACAAAGTTAATGCTGCTGATAGGAGGAGCCCTTGTACAAGTTTCAAGTTTTCTTCTCTGCTGTCATTTATTTTGGGGCAAATACCAGTCCAGTGGAAAGAGTTCTGAACATAAAAGGCACCTAGAGTAAAAGTTAGACCTTAACTAATCAAAATAGTTGCACATGTTTACATCAAGAAAAAAGGCCCTTTCAATGCAACTCTCCTGCAAGACAACAATATAAATGCAAAAGCTATTGCAACTAAAAAATCTACAAACACTTACCTGAACCTGATACATAAGCTAGATAACAACAATCACTTCTGTGTTTATAAATCCATAAATGTTTTGTCATTGTTTAAATAAGCATGAGTACTATATTTATATTCATAGGTGGGGGGGGGTGCTCTAATTATTTATTTTTAGTTAAGATGTTTTGTTGCATTTTCTCTTAAAATGCATTATTGTGTACTCTATTCATGGATGTGTTAAAAATTCCTGTTGTCCTTCAAGAATGTAGCAAAACCTAAAACTGCTACTTTAAACCAAAGTCCTTTTTAATTATTAGAAAGCCAGTAAAGCTGACATTTTACTCTGATTTAAGCACCTGAAATATATTCTGACCAAGTTATATTCTCTGAACTAGAATAAGGATCCTCAGGATTTATATATGTGTACAAATATTGCAAATAAAGCTAATAAAAACTTGAAAAAATACAAATAATCATTTACTACAAAGATCCAAAATCCACGTATGGGTCTGTGCTAAGGGAAACATGGACAGGAAGCCAGCAAACGCCTGTCTGCATTTTCTAGTCTGAGGCACAGGCCTCAGCGGAGCCAGGTGGTATTCAGCTGGGTCTGCTTCTTGATGCTGGTATCCATTTTTAGCACTTCGCGAATAGCCATGGTGGCATAGGTAGAAGGAGGAAGAGAGAAATCCATCTTCAGAGCTCTGTATTTGCCTTCTGCCAAGCAAGAAAGAAGAGAACAGTCAGAAAAGGAAGGCAGCTGCTGACCCACTGAGGCGAGTCCTAATCTCTATTCAAATAAAAGAACTGTGCTCCATTCCTCAGGCTTCTACCTCCTGCGGGACCTCAGAGAATGAGCTATGGAAGTAAAAGGTCTGAGAGTATTCAACCCAGCTGAATCGCCACGTTAATTCTACCTGGATCCATTATAATAAGGGCAGATGACAAAACAGCACAGGAGACAAAAGCATGCAAAGTCAAAAAAATAAAATTACACTACAGGGTGAGGACAAACAAAGGAATGGCAACAAGAATTTGACAATGAAAATACAAATTTAATGTTTTTGACTCTTCCTGGATTTTCATTCATCTTTGTGAACTCTTCATGGGGGTGAGGAGAAAATATTCAATCACCTAGAATCAAAACCTTCTCTAACAGCCATTCATTTTTAGTGGGATTTACTGTTTTAATCACTGACCGCCAACTAGAATCATGAAACTAAGATGCCAAAACACAAAATAGAAATCACAGAGCAAGGTGGGTGGGAGTGGTGATTCTAAGAGGGTTTTTAGAAAATATTTCAAAGTAGACACAGACCAGATGGCTGAGTAAACTTACCAGAAGCAAAAACTGGTGGTGGCTTCCCTTCTAGGTTGTCCACATCTGTGTTGAAGAGTGGAATTTTAGGATCATCATATGCAACCACTTCCCTTCAAAACATAAATAAAGGCAACTGTGAATGTGAACTTCCATAAAAGGTACTAGATTACTCATCATTTGTTTAGCAAGGAAAAATACATGGGTATACTGTAAATAAATAATTCTATGTGGAAATATCTAATAACGGAAGAGGCCCCAATTCTATATATAAGTATTGCCTTTATATTATTATATAGCAAGGTGACATAAAATGTTTCCCTAGGATGGAAATTCTTTCACATGTACTCGATAAGTAGTAAACTTCACTTTGTACAGATGCGACTGAAGGAGTCCCAGCGTTTATATCTTCTCCCCAGTGGCCATCACTGCAAACAACACTGTACTCAGGAGGGCCTGCGCTCTGGAGGCGAGAGGAAAGTCCAAGCCTGACACCCCTTTCCCACAATGCACAGAAGAGGAGGGAAGGGGCAATTTCCAGCAATGGGCAACCAGCTCAGGATTTAATTTTAAAATTATCAGATAAAGCTTTAGATAATACTAGCTTATTAAAGTTTTCCTTTTTCTTTTTTTTTTTAAGATTTTTTTTGGGGAATTGGGGAAGGGGAACAGCCAAGTTGTTGTCCTTCAATCTTAGTTGTGGAGGGTGCAGCTAGTTCAGCTCCAAGTCCAGTTGCCATCCGGCCGCCTGTCGGCAGCTCAAGGCAGCTCAGCTCAAGGTGCCGTATTTAATCTTACTGCGGGAGGACGTAGCCCACCATCCCATGCAGGAGTCGAACTGGAAACCTTGTTAGGAGCACATGCTCTCACCAGCTGAGCCATCCTGCCACCTGTTAGGAGCTCAGCAGCAGATCAGCTCGGGTGCAGCTCACTGGCCTATGTGGGAATCAAACCGGCGACTCTGTCGCTCAGAGCTCGTGCTCTTAACCAATTGAGTCACTCAGCGGACTATTAAAGTATTTTTAAATGGGTTACTACAAGTATCTTTTATCTCTAGAAACATATTAAAACCACCAAATCGGTGTTCGAAACTCATAGCTAATTCTGAGTAACGTAACTTGCTCAGGATAGCTCTGTAAGCAAATCTCGGTTTTTTCAGAAACAGGGAAAAAGTTCATTCTCTGCACATTTCTTCAATAATTTAGTAATGTCAATAAAATATAAACCAAGCCACTTTCAGTGTAAGCTTGCATGCATTCATTTACTGATAATTTGAAAAATACCAAAAGTAGCAGTAATAATAGTAGTAACAACTAACACTTATATGCCAGGTTGTAAGCACTGGGAAATATATGTGATACAAAAGCTTAAAATCTCACATAGTAATTCAGTTCTATTTCATTCTGGGCTATCACTCACCAGCTGACATTCTGAGGACGAATAACGATCTTGCGGTAGGCCCCTGATAAGGAATAATCTCTGATTTTGTGTCTCATGTTGTCAATATCAAGATTGTCTGCTGTGAGCATTTCTCTGTAGGCTTCACTAACTAATAAATATAAAACACAAAAAGTTAGTTGGAATGCAGCATGTCAGCAAGCTACCTGGCACTGGACTGGCTACAAGTAGAGTAACGTGTAAATTCAGTTGGATTGCCCTAACAAAATTAGCCTCTAATTTACAATCCTGCCAATTCTCTGGAATCAAAACGTAGTGACTTACTAACTCGGATTAGGTGTCTCCAGTTTATGTTTGGCCAACTTGTAAGTTATCTTTGCAGCAGCTACAATATCTGGGGTGTGAGGTTCCCAAGCCAGTTACAAAAGGCCATTTCATTAGAAGTCACTAATTACTATTTTTATACATGCTCGGAGAAGGAGAGGCCATATACAGAAGTCTCGAACTCTTTCTGGCAGAAGGTAGTTATACCTAAATGCATAAAAATAAAAGACCTGGGAAAACCATCTGGTTCACCCTGGCACCTGATGTAGATAGAATCTTTCTCCTAACTCCCAAGAGAGATGGTCCTCCCACCTGTGCGTGCACACTGCCATTTACTGGGAACTATTGGGTTGTCGGAAAAGTCATGGTGCATTTTTGCAACGAAAAACATAGAAAAAATACGTCATGACTTTTCCGACAAACCCAATACTTCATTTGTGAGCTATGCAATTAGAAAGTGCTTCCTGTTGCCAGCTGAAATCTTTCTTCTTGTAACTTCTGTTGGCTGCTTTGGAACACAGTAGATTACTGCCCTTTCCACATGAATTCATAAGTATTGGACCTCCAAGCCATAGCCTCCCTAGGCCAAACAATGGTTCCCTCAACTGTCCCTCCTCTGCCATTCCTGTATTCCTCACCAAACCCCTATCTGCCTCGGGGTAGCAGACTTATGTTTGACAGTAATTCCAGATACTTTGCATGTAGACTACTTATCAAACTGAGCCTTTTCTATTTGTACATTTGGTCTTTGAGCATAAATGTGAGAATTTATATTTAACCCTATTAAATGACCTCTGTGGTTCTTTTTAAATACTTATTTTTCACATAATTAATATTAGCTATTTTGGGTTACTCTATTTGCACAAATAATAAATGGGTTTCTTTATTCAAGTTATTCATAAAAAATGTTAGGTATACAAAGTCAAGGAAAGCCTCCCTCATGACACACTTACTAGGACAACAGGGATCCCTAAGTCGAGCTTTGCTGGACACCAAGTGTCCACATGTTATGAATCCACAGGTCTGAGCTACCACCCATCCAGGCTATGAGCCCCTGTCTTGGCCACAAGGTTTTCATGAGTGCCTTGTCAGAGGCTGTACTGAATTTATGTTTTAATTAGTATTAGCCCAAGTTTCTGAGAGGTGCAAGAAAGAAGAAAAGAATGTTTTATTTTTCTTTCTTGGAAAGAGGGCAAGCGTGGCTCTAAGCATCTCGGTGCCTTTCTTTTGGCTGGTTCCTGGTACTGGTCTCTCAATTTCCTCACTGTGCTGCCAGGCCAAGATGGGCAGACCACACCCCTCCCTCATCTACGTCTCTTCTGCGTTCTCCCCTCCTCTTCTCTCCTCCTGTTACCTCAATGAAATCAACCCCATATAAGCATTAGGAGCACAGCAACTCGATTAAATTAATCAACATGTAACTGACAAATTACTATTTCACTCTTTTATAAGTATTTGCATTATCAAAGTAGGGTGTTAATGCTAATCATTCTATAATTCGTAAAACTGCAAGTTATATAATATTGGTAAGCAAAATAATTCTGGTTTCTTGGGAGAAAAGATGTTTTGATAGGAAAACACCTCCCACAGCCCAGCCCTGGCCTAGAGTGAACTTCCAGGGTCAGCTTCACCAGGCTGGTCCCATGCTCAGAGCTGCTTTCTTTTTTAAATTTCTAATCGTTGAACAATAAAAGTTTCAATTCTGCCCCCCCTCCAATGGCATCCATTAAGGTAACAGAAGTAATTCTTAACAGGCTCTGGGGAATGGGAAACAATTCTAACTTTTCACTTTATACACTTTTGTGCTTGCTGACTTTTAAAACACAGCTAGCAGATATTATTTACATAGTTAAAAAAAAAAGGTTAAAAAATGTTTAAGAATTATCCAGTCATTTTCTCAACGACTCTTTCCAAATGCTTCTCATCCTTAATATGAACTAGTGAATTTCAGAAATTTAAATAATGCCAATAATGACAACACTAATAACAATAATACCAATAACACCACCACCACCATCTTGTTTCTTAATTTAAACTGTCCATCTGAATGCACCTCCTTCTCAAATCTGATGAATATAATATCAAAGTCCTAAAATTATATTTAAAATACTAATTTTTCCCCTGTCTCCACTGTTGGCTGCCAGTGGCTTAATTATGTTAAGACTTTGTTTTAACTATTTTCCCCATATAGAGAACTCACTTTTATGCTTTGGGTAGATAACATCAAAACCAGGCAAGGGCATTACAACATCATGGATGGAGTAATTATGAACATCTTCTTCCTCAATATAGGTGGCTGTGGCTACAAATTCACAAAAGAATGAAGAAAAATTAAGAAAATAGACAATAATTTCATGAGCTCAATCTTCTAAAGTTATATACATGTAAACAGTCAGAAGTGCAAGGTGGTACAGGTTCAGTGGCTCACGAAGCTTGAAGAAATTAAGTTGGAATATAGACCTTTCTGTCTTTTCTGTCCTACCCAAGAAAAAAAATCATTGACTTAGAAAAAGTAAAAAGTTAAAAAACATTTATTTCTCAGCTGCACCCTCATTTTATGGGAATCCTTGCTTTTAACAATCAGCTCCTTTTCTTTATTAAACAACACTATAAAATACTATTTAGAAGTACAACCAATGCCTCACCATAGTAACTAGCACTGCAGTGATAACACTGAGATCAGAGTTATAAAGTAATTGTATTTCTGAAAAGAAAACAATATCATGAAAAAAATACTATTTGGATCAACTATAATTATAAATATACCAGGCATGGTGCCAAAAAATATATCACATGACTTGTATTCATCTTTTGTTATCGGTATGTATTGAGTATTAAAATTTTAATACTGTTTTTCCTTTCTTAAAATGTGTATAAATTTTTTTTGGCACCCTGTGTGTGTGTGTGTGTGTGTGTGTGTGTGTGTGTGTGTTTGTGTGTGTATTTTCACAGGATGTAAAGTACAGCACAGGGGATACATATAGTCAATGATATTGTAACAGCTATATACAATGTCAGAGGGGTAGTAGACTTGTTGGAGTTATCACTTTGTGAGGGGTGTAAATGTCTACCTATTATGTTGCTCTGTACACCTGAAACTAATAAAAGAAATACTATTTGGAAAGCTATCACAAATGAATGCGTTTTGCTAAAAGAATGAACAATTAAAAAAACCAGTCTTATTTAGAGGATAAAATATGGTGGCTGACGGAACATTAAAATATACTGGATGTGATCAATAATGAATGAGGAAAAAATATTAAATCAGGAAGGATTGGGGGAGGGGGATTGTCACTTCGAGGGGTAAAAAGTATAACTATTGCACTGTGTTATACAGCTGAAACTAATTCTAAAAAATGTGTATTTCATAATAAAAAATAATTTAATAAAATATTAAATCAGGAAAAAAATAACTTAGATTTATCAGGCACACCTGCAGATGAGCAGGCTGTCTTCAGGTAGAAGAGGGCAGCCAGGAATGCCAGAAAAACACGGACTTTGGACACAGACAGACTTGATGCTGAATCCCAGTCTTTTCTTTTTTAACCAGCTGTAGAACCCTGGGCAAGTGACTGAACCTCACCTGAAGAACGGAGAGAATACTTTGCAGTAACACGTGAGCTTTAAGCCAGAAGTTGTGGGTGAAGGGTTTAGCATAGGACAGCACACAGTAATGGCGCAGCAGCAGATGGGGTCATATGCGCGTCAAGGAACATTTCCGGCACAGAGAGTGCACTAAATGTCCATCATCAGATCAAGACCCAAATGTGAAGTGAGCTCCAGTCTGGTGCTGACTTGAAGAAACTCTTTAAAACTGGCTGACAACAGCCGAGAGGCTCAAGTATGTCCAGAGTGCAATGAAGTATTTGGTAGACCCAGATTAAAGCTTGGAAAGGGATGTTAGGTACATCCGGTCCAAATCTTATTCCAGCTGAGAAAATGGAGTCAGGCCACTTACTCAAATCAATCATATTAGAGATATAGATCCAAACTAGTCAGTGTGAGCTTACAAACTTACTAAACTAAGTCAGTCTTTCCATTTCAAACTTACTAGATCTCTGTCTTAACTAGTAGCCAGGCTGGATTTTAAGCACTGGACCCTAGTTTGGCTGAATAATGATGGCATTTGTCTTTTTACCTCCTTTGAGAACCAGGTCTCCTGGAACAGGTTTCAGTCCGTATTCTTCTATCCTCTTGCTCACCATGTTATTCCACACATAGCTTTGATAGCTATGAATATACATTAAGCGATTATTTCTTGGTATCTGGAGGGAAGGGGAAAAAACAGCAAGAAAAAAAAATATATACCCGAAATATAAAAGTACTGTACTTTTCAAAACACCTTATTTAGTGGTGACCCTAATATAAGAAACTCACACCTTACATCTCTCATTTTTCTAATAGTCTATAGAAACGGTGACTGATATGCAGCAACCAATTTTAGAGATGAAACCCCTCACACTAAAGCGTTTTCAATCTGCTGCAGCTGCAGCAGTTCCCTTTTGCATCCACAGTGCAATCATTCATGCAGACAAAGCAAATGCTACAGAATTTATACCCTCAATCAATGACACAGGCTTCAAACTCCCAAAATTTACACTTCGATTATAGACCTAACAGTGCTTCCTCCCCCATAATTTTATGGAAAGAGAAAACCTGGATTGAACTGACAACTAATTTCATGAAGAATCCTGCTTTTTTGGGTACATCCTAGGTAGTAAATAAGACGTAAGTTTAAGAGTTAAACTTTAGTCTACTCTGGATCACACATATCCAAATACTAGTACAGGCTACACAAGAGTGGGTATCACCTGGTACCACCATCACGCAACCACTCAGACCGCTTACTGTGCAAACCTCTTACTGAGGCAGGTTACAGTTCTGATGCTGGAGAATCATCAGGAAATGAACTCGATGATGGATTCTGAGTTTTTCAAATACCAAGAAGTTCACTGAAATTACATTTCCTTGTAGATACTGTTTTCCACATTAACGCTTTTCTCATTCCCTCAGTGTTGATTATGCTGACATTGCAAGCACCCATCACCAACCCCCATCACCATTCAGAGTCTGAACAAGGATCACCCCTCAGAGACCACCCAAAGGATCCTTCTTTACCTTTTTGCTCTTTCCAAATTTAGTAAATATTTAACGGTAAACTTTAAAAAACATTAAACCACCTCGAGTCATTTGCCTGACTTCACAAATCGCACTCACTATGCCAAATGCAGAGACTATATTCTTCATTCCATATTTTGAAAGTCCTCGAAGCAGCTGCCCTTCCACACACCTTTTGACAGGTAGTTTTCTGAGGGCAGCAGCTGGGTCTTTGGTCTTCGCCCATTCTTCCCTGCATTTTACCAAGTACCCCTTTTCGGCTGGGAGGCAAAAAAAAAAAAAAAAAAGCCATGATTAAACAATTTATCCAATAGACAGATTTCCATAACTTATTAATAAAATGCTTCATTAGAGAACACAAATTACAAAATGTTACTTGTAATATAGGTACTCTGAAAAGCTTCTGCTCATCTGAGAACCACCATCATGAGGAAGTGAAAAGATGGGAAATGCAGAAAGTTTACAGAACTAGATGGTTTTATCAATGTACTACCACCCCAGGATTTAAAGCTGGTCACTGTTCGTTATCACAGGTGATTCAACATACGACAGTTGTCAAATTTAATGGGTGACTTCCTTTAAAATTAGATAATTTTATCTCCTTTTAATTTGCAAATGAATAATTACCCAAAGTAGGCATAATCATTTTATAATGTGCAAATTAGTACTTAAATCCTTTTTCAAGTAGTATGATTTTGGAGACACTTTCTGGAAAGTTTTTAATGAACTCTTCAAACTAAAGATCCTCAGCATGGTATTGCCAAGTTTTTATATTCTATTACACTATGCTTATCAATGTTTGGATTCCTATGTGTTCAGAGATTTAGTGGCACATGGAAAAAGGGGAATGAATGTATTCATTTATGAATTAGTAAATTAGATGAGCCAAATAGCTAAAAACAGGATATAATTCATAAATCTTAAATATATACATAAACCTGTGAAAAAATAAACCATACTTTTTATTTTACTACAAATTTTTTTTATAATTCTGAATTAAATCCCCTAATTTTCACACATACTTTTATTTAAAGAAATTCTGTGAATACTTAGACAGGTATTCTATTTTTTTCATAACATGAATTTTATTCTCACCTCCAGAACGGGGTTTCAATATTAAATCCATGACTTCAGCCCAGGAGTTCTGTAGGATAGCTCTAAAATTAAAGAGCATTTATTTTACTTAATTTTGCATTAAGATAAATTTTATATGCCCAAATCTGTAGAGTCAACGAATCATATTAACTTTATATATTTTATTGAATTATAAGTTGAAAAACTAATATAATGATAAAGATTTCAAATTTAAATGCTAAAAGAACTTAAAAGAAAATTAAGAACTGTTTACTCATAACATTTAATATCATTTCAGTTTTAAAAATTTATAATAGTATAAATGCTATATGGTCATGCTTTAAGTTGTTATACATGGTATTACCTGTATAGATCAAAGTTAAGCCTTTATGTACCAAAACTTATTTGAAATTTCTCAAAAAAATTTCACCCCCATGTTAAAAAAACCTTCTTGCCTAGGCAAATAGATAAATACAATTTATCCTTTTCTATTATTCTTGCCAAAATGAAAAAATCTTCATTTTTGCTGATTACAAGTTATACATGCTTCTTAAAGATTAAACAGTACATAAGAAAGGTTGGTTGCCTGCTATCTAACCTCTCAGAACTTAAACAGTTAACACTTTAGAGTGTATTTTTCAAGAGTTTTTTTATGCATCTATAAGTGTATACAGTTTTTCCTTTAACTTTTATTATATTATTTTTTGCCATACAGAAGTTATACTTTGTGTATCATATCTGAAAATTTTTTTCTGGTAACATTTCTGGTCTTGGAGTCATACTTAGAAAGACCCTCCCTATCAAAAAAATATAGAAATCCCTCCTATTAATTTTTGTTTTTCTAGTTAATTAGGATTTTTATTTTCACATTTAAGTTAATCTTTATGGGGTATTTTTGTATATTGAATTGTATAAACTGCTGGTTAGTATCTACTGATGAGATCATATGGATTTTTAATCTAGCAGTACAATAAACAGCATTACATTAATAGATTTCTTATTGCTGACCATCCTTGCAGTCGTGGAACAAGCCGTGCGATATTGATCTTTAAATATACTCCTGGGTGGGGCCGGCCGAGTGGCGTGTTGGTTAAGAGCTGGCTTGGGACGCCAGAGGGCCCTGGTTTGGATCCCACATGTGAGGGCCAGTGACACTGCCCTCTACAGCTAAGATGCTGAACAACAGCTCGACCTGGAGCTGGTCTGCGTGAGTCGCCGGCGACGGCGTAGGCTGCAGCCCCTGGTGCAGTGGGTAGCCATGGGCCAGCATGAGCGGCCAGCAGCCACCATGAGTGGCCGTCCAGAAGCCGGGGACTGATCTGCCTCACCTGGGAAGAGCGCGATGATGCCAACTTGGGCCAGTGAAGCAACATCCTCCACAACTAACTAGACTGAAGAACAAAAGGATAGCAACTTGTCTATTCCCCTTCCCCCAATTCCCCAGCACTGTTCCCATCCCCCAATCCCCCAATAAAAATCTTTTTTTTTTTTTAAAGATTTTTATTGGGCAATTGGGGGGATGGGAACAGTGCTGGGGAATGGGGGAAAGGGGAACAGACAAGTTGCTGTCGTTTTTTTGTTCTTCAATCTAGTTGTGGAGGACGTTGCTTCACTGGCCCAAGTTGGCACCATCATTGCGCTCTTCTCTGGCGAGGCAGATCAGTCGCCGGCTTCTGGACGGCCGCTCACTGCGGCTGCTGGCCGCTCATGCTGGCTGCTGGCCACACACGGTAGCCCATGGCAATCCACTGCCACAGGGACTGCAGCCCACGCCGTCGCCGGCGACTCATGGCAGCCCAGCTCCAGGTTGAGCTGTTGTTCAGCATCTTAGCTGCAGAGGGCAGTGTCACTGGCCCTCATATGTGGGATCCGAACCGGGGCCCTCTGGCATCCCAAGCGAGTTCTTAACCATCGCGCCACTCGGCCGGCCCCCCAATAAAAATCTTAAAAAAATAAAAAATATATATACATACACACACACACACACACACACACACACACACACACTCACTCACTCCTGGGTGAAACATTTAGTTGGTTAGCTTTTCAGCAACACTTCCAAAAAGAGTATAGTACTAACCCAGGATTAGGCATTGGTTTCCCAGACATCATGGAAAAAGACTTCTATGCTCAAAAACCTTGTCATCTGCTAGCCACCTGATTTTGTAAATAGTTTTATGGAGAACAGCTGTGTTCACTCATTTACATATTGTGTATGGCTGCTTTTGCACTGTCATAGCACAGCTGAATACAGCAGGTCCTCAAATAACGTCGTTTTGTTCAATGCCAATTCGCTGTAATGTTGATGAGAAAAAAAAAACTGCTTGCTGGCTGGGGCCTCCGTCTGTGTGGGGCTGGCACATTCTCCCCACATCTGGGTGGGTTTTCTCTGGGTCTTCCAGTTTCCTCCTACATCCCAAAGATGTACTCGTGGGTTACCTGGCGTGTCTATATTGGCCCAGAATGAGTGAATGTGGGGGTGTTTGTGGTACACCCTGTTATGGGAGGATGTCGTCTCCTGGGTGGGTGCCAGGAGAGGTTCTAGCCAGCCGTGACCCTAACATGAAATAAGTGGGATGGAAAAATCACCTGGCTTTTTATTCATCTTTCTTGTATGTATAGCTCACAATGATTTCAATGTTTACTATTAGAAGTGTTTGGGGCCTTTATTTAGAAGTTTGGTGATATTTTGCCGTAAGAACTTAAGTCATTTATATCAATTAGCCTTTGGTCAAACAGGTGTCTTTGTACATTGTTTCGCTTAGAGTCACAGTTTCTAAGAACCTATCAACAAAGTTATGTGAGGTCTTACTGTAGCTGCTACAAACACTTTATGGCCCACAAAGCCTATATTTACAATCTGGTCCTTTACAGAAAAAGATTGCCAACACCTGGTGTAATATATTAAAAAGTTTAACTATAAGACTTCTCAACATCTTTAAGAAGCTACTGTTTATGGGAAGGTTTGGTACACATTGCCTTATAAAATATGTATATGTTTGATTTACAATGGCCATTCTATCTGGCCCACTCGTAAAGCTGTTTTCTACTTCTACATTACCTTTCCTTCTTCCACGATTTTTTTTTTGTGTGTAAAATACACATACATAACATTTATCATTTTGCCATTTTTAAATATACAGTTCTACGGTATCAAATATATGGACAGCAAAAAATACACTGTTGTGTAGTCATCAGGACCATCTGCCTCCAGAATGGTTTGCTTTTCCGCAACTGAAACGCTGTACACATCAAACAAAAACTCCCCAATTCCTCCCACCCCCAGCTACTGGCAACCACCACTCTATTTTGTCTATGAATTTGATGACTGTAGGAACCTCATATAAAAGGAATTAGACAATATTTCTCTTTTTTTGACTGGCTTATTTCACTTAGCAAAAAATTCTTCAAGGTTTATTTTGTGTCAACATTTTCTTCCTTTTTACGGCTGAATAATATTCCATTTACCTATGTACCACGTTTTGTTTATCCATTCATCTGTTAATAGACACCTTTTGGGGGCCGGCCGAGTGGCGCGTTGGTAAGAGTTGTCTTGGGATGCCAGCTCTGAGCAGCAGGGCCCCGGTTCGGACCCCACATGAGGGCCAATGATGCTGCGCCCTCTACAGCTAATACGGCGAACAACAGCTCAACCTGGAGCTGGGCTGCCGTGAGTCGCCGGCGATGGCGTAGGCTGCAGCCCCTGCTGCAGTGGCTTCTGTGAGCTGCTGTCCAATGGCCAGCAAGTGACTGCCTCACCCGGGAAGAGCGCAATGATAATACCAACATGGGCCAGTGAAACGACATCCTCCACAACTAGACTGAAGAACAAAAGGACAGCAACTTGTCTGTTCCCCTTCCCTGATTACCCAGTGCTGTTCCCCTCCCCCAATTCCCCAGTAAAATCTTAAAAAAAAAAAAATAGACACCTTTTGGCTACTGTGACTAATGTTCTTATAAACACTGGTGTAAACAAAGGTTGATACAGCCTCCCCTTAAATACTCTGTCCCATAATAGAATTAGCATCTTCACTATCTTTATCAACATCCTCTAACCATTAGCAAGACTGAAAACATTACCTTTTATTATCTAATAATAGTGATTATTAGTTACTACAGTTTTCTCTTGGCAACAGTTTTTTCTCTGGTTAGTAGGTCTGGTTTAATTTTAAAATGCTGGTTTCCAGTTACTGAGCACTTACTATTTTCAAGGCATAGAAATAGGTGCTGCATAAACATCATCACATCATTTCATTAGCCTGTGAGGTTGGTATTAACATCTCCATTTACAGATGAGTAATCTGAGGCTCAGAACGATAGTCTAGCTTCACTGCCTGAGCAACACTGCCTTAAAGAGGTAGAGGAAATACTACATGATAGATTTTTACCATTTTAATGATACAAGTACAAATGCAACTTCATGTAGTCAGCTGCTGGACGTCAAGAAAATACCTCTATTCCCAGGACTAGCTGACCACCTAGTGAGCTCCGACAGGCCTCCCTAAGCCTAACTTTCAACTTCACTAAAACGAAGGGTTTGAAACACAAGAAAATAAACTAAATAATCTCAGATCACTTCCAATTCATAACCTCCACAATTCTAACTCCCATGTGAATAATTACCAAATGTAACACAGTCTCTGTGGAACAACAGTATAACAAGTAGGTTTATGAAACCCAAGTATGTCTGTATGTAAGTATTTTTGTTGTTGTTTAGCTTTCCCAAGTATTTATTGATGGGACTGCCACCCTAGGTTACCTTAGAGGGATTTCCTATTAACTAAAAGTGAATCACAGTTCTTATGAGAAATTTTACCTCACTAATTACATCCCAGAGTGCTTTCTTTCAAGGAGGGGAAAGGGCAGGTCCCAGTTTAATAAACTGGGAAGCGCTTGTTAACAGAGATTAGAAACTGCATCATTTCCATCAGGCTACTGTGGGTCTGAGTTAACTCTCATCAACTGCTTACTGTTGGGTCACTTACTGAGCCAAGGTTTACCTGTATGAAAGAAAATAAAGAGAATCCCCAAGTGGGCAATCAAGGGTGGGGGAAAAACTTACTTTTCAGGTTCTATTTTGAACTCTTATTTATTATTTGACCTTGTGCATGTATTCTCTTAAAACAGAACAAAAATTAGCAGGCTACAGATCAGGTAGTCATCCAAATAGACGAGATACCATTGGTTCATTTGGCCCAGATAGGAGGAAATCTAGAACTAATTAAAAACAATACCAACAAAACACCCTGCTTCTTCTTATGAGAGAGCTCTTTTAAACAAGAATTAAGAAATTAAATACAAACCTTCCAACTTGATATGTGGGGACGGCTGTAGTTCCAAATCTTTGCATTCCGTAGTAGTTAATAAATCCAATCTCCTTGAGAGAGTTCATGGCATGTTGTACTTGGTCATCAGTTCCTGTTATATTTCTTTGGAGGTCCAAATTATCCGAGGAAAGAGTTTACAAACACATTAAGGGGTGCACATCATAAATGATACGGCTTGGCTTCCATGCCTTCCCTTGTTCACTGCAGCTTTCTCTCTACCTCCTGAGAACTTGGCCATTTCTTTTTTTAAATTGTGGTAAAGTATACACAATATTAAGTTGACCATTTTAGCCATTTTTAAGCATGCAATATAGTGGCATTAAGTACATTTACAATCTTGTGTAACCTTCACCAAACTTTTTCATCTTCCCAAACTGAAACCACACCCATCAAATAATTCTCCATCCCCCCTCCACCTCCACCCCAGGTAACATCTCTTCTACTTTCTGTGTCTACAATTTGCCTATTCCAGGTATCACAAAAAAGTGTAATCATAAGAGTCTTTGTTTTTGACCACCACATTTAAGGAGATAACGTCTTTCCAAAGGTGGTGCTGAGTTTTTAGAGGGGTGGGGTGTTGGTACAAATACTACAGCAGTGTTTGCTCCCCTGATCCTATCAGGTCCCACTTGGCCTTCCCTTGCTGCCACGCCTGCTGGTACCAGCTCACCTGGATTAATAACTTTTTTGTACAGACTCAAGGTGACCCAGCAAGACCCCTGGTCTGCATTCCAGCCCACAGCTCTTTACCTGAGAACAACAGTGAAGTGATTCCCTTGAAGCTCTCCTAGTTTCAGAGGGCTTTTCTGATAGCTGAAATTCCCCAGCTTAAAGTTCATTAAGCACTTGTTCAAGTGGGCAAGTCTTTGTGCAGTTATTCTACAAAATACAATAAAAAAGGAGCAGAGAGAAGATCATGAAATACTGCCTGACTGAAACAGTCTAGGTCACGTTACTACACAAAATAGCACCTGACTACACAAAAAGCCGAACTATGAAGGTGGGAAAAGACAGATGTACGGCGGGGTGGGGTGGGAGGTGGGTGTACGTTCCATGTCCCTTTGGATCATTCCTTGGGCATAATGATACCTGGTCCTACTGGGATCATGCAACCTGGGCCATGTGTACATTCTTTTTTTTTTTTTTTTTTTTTAGCTGAGCCATCCCGCCACCTGTTGGCAGCTCACGGCTGCTCAGCTCGGGCTGACTCGAACCGCTGTTGCTCAGAGCTCAAACTCTTGAGCGATATGTATACATTCTTAAAGCCACATATATTTATATACTTCCTGATGAGGAATGGAAAAACATCTGCAGAATTTTCTACTTTTTGTGAGGGGCAATGAGAAAGGGGATAGAGCAAAGAGTAATCTCATACAACTATCAAGATTTTTAATAAACATTTAAAAAATAGTTTGTGTATCAGAAAAATATGACCTCACTACAGAAAACTAGGAACAATACAGAAAACCTCCGAGAAAACAATTCAGTTCCATCACCTGAAAAGAAAATCTGTTAACATCTAACTTTGAATTTCCTCCCATTCTTTTTTCTTAAACACATTAAAGATACATATACGAAGTGTGATCAAACAATACAGTGAATGTTTAAATTAAAAAAATGTATTACAGACGATGCATTGCCATTAATCCCCCTCAAAACACTCCCCTTCACTTCAAAAATGCTTATCCCATTGTTCTTGCCACTTTCTGAAGCAGTTCTGGAAGTCCTCTTTTGTGAGTGTCTTTAGTTGCACTGTCATGGCTGCCTCAATGTCCTCAATCATTTTGACTTTGGGGAAGAGCCAGAAGTCTCATGGTGCCAGATCCAGTGAATAAGGTGGATGAGGACACACTGAAATGTTTTTATTTGACAGAAGTTGCTGTGATGTGTGACACGAAGCATTGTCATGATGGAGGATGATTTACGGCACACTTTAAAACACACCTCTCAAATGTAGCTCACATCTGACCGACTGCACTGAAAAGGTTGAAACTTGGGCCGGCCGAGTGGCTCAGTTGGTTAAGAGTTGACTTAAGAGCATGAGCTCTGAGCAACAGGGCTGCCGGTTCGATTCCCACATGAGCCAGTGAGGCTGCGCCCAAGCTGAGCTGTTGCCGAGCTGTTGCCAACAGGTGGCAGGATGGCTTGGCTGGTGTAACGAGATTGCCTGTTCGATGGTGGGCTACGCCCGCCCGCAACTAAGACTGAACTCAGCACCTTGAGCTGAGCTGCCACCCGGATGGCTCAGTGGATAGAGTGTGCGCTCTGAACAACAAGGCTGCTGGTTCGACTCTCGCATGGGATGGTGGCTTCACCCACAACTAAGATTGAATACAGCACCTTGAGCGTAGAGGCCACGAGCTGCCGCTGGACAGCCAGATGGCAACTGGAGCCCACCACAACAAAGATTAAAGAACAACTTGGCTGGTCCCCTTCCCCAATTCCCCAACACTGTTCCCCTCCCCTAATTCCCCAATAAAATCTTGGGAAAAAAAAGGTTTAAACTTGTCAACACACTGTTACTAAGGTTCATTGTGCCGCTTCCCATATTGAAGATCCCTGCCTTTCTGTTGGATGGCGCTGGGCAGCAGCATTCACCATAGTTTGTGATCACAACGGAAAGGCTCCGTCTCACACATCACTTCTGGTACAGCAGCTTCTGTCAAAACATTATGGTGTGTCCTCATCCACCTTATTCACTGGATCTGGCACCATGCGACTTCTGGCTCTTCCCCAAAGTCAAAATGTCCATCAAAGGTAAATGTCTTGAATCGATTTGGGACATGAAGGCAGCCACGACAGCACAACTAAAGCCACTCACGAAAGAGGACTTCCAGAACTGCTTCAGACAGTGGCAGGAATGATGTGATAAGTGTGTTCAAAGCAAGGAGGAGTATTTTGAGGGGGATTAATGGCAATGTGTTTTTTACTGTAATACATTTAAAAAAATTTAAACAGTCACTGTATTTTTTTATCACATCTTGTATGTTGTATATACAGAAAAGTACACAAATCATAAGTGTTCTGCTTGATGAAAGTGAACACAACCAGGTACTCAGCCCCCAGATCCACCTTTTTAAAAAACAAATCTTGTTACATTATAAATTGTTCGGCATCTTGTTTTTTTTCATTTAAAAATGCATATTTGAGATCTGCCTTGTCCATCCAGCACTTCGGAGGCTGCCTCATTCTTTGTACGATGGCTGCGGCTCTGCATGGATACTGACCCTTTATGTGACCAGTCCCCTTCAATGGACATTTAAATTGCTACCAACCTTTTGTATTATAAACAATTCTATAGCAAATATCCTTACACATAATTCTCTGTGCACCTATATAGGTGTATGTTTGGGATAAATCCCTAGATGTGGAAGGCATGGATTTTAAATTTTAACGCTGTTTTGCTCTCCAAAAAGGTTATATCAATTTACACTCACACCATGAATATTGGGTTGTCAGAAAAGTCATGATGTATTTTTTCTACGTTTTTTGTTGCAAAAATGCGTCATGACTTTTCCGACAACCCGATAGGTAAGCTCCTATGCCTCATCTTTGTGTCTCCTTACCCAGTGTATTATGAACGTTTTTGAGGCCTGCCAGTCTAAGTTAAAATATTTTTTTGTTTTTTACATGTGTGCTCCTTATTGTGAGTGAGGTTAGACATAACTTCACATGTTGACTGTGAACTGCCTGTTCATCCTGTTGCCGATTTTTCTATTGGATTGTTAATATTTTTTTCACTATTTTCATATATTAAGGAAATCTACCCTTTACCACCTATTTTATCTCCCATTTTGTAAATATGCTTTATTTATAGCATTTTACACTTTAGAAAATTTCTCAACTTTGTTAAAACAATTCAAAACTGGAGTAAATTGGTAACACTATAATGAACCACCTTATACTTTTCACTTAGATTTACCAGTTGCTAACCTTTTCCCAGGTTTACTTTATCCCTCTCTTTAGATATATCAACCACCATACATTACACATACACCCATACATACACATGCAAATGTAAAATCTACACATTTTACTGACCATCTGAGAGCTAGTTACAGACATTTGGGATACCTTACCCTAAGTGACTCCAGTGTGTGTCTCCTAAGAACAAGCAGTCTCCTGCTGAGCCACTGTGGTGACACTCAGGGAACCAAATGAATTCAACACTGCTCGTACGCAGCCCATATCCAAACTCACCCAATTACCCCAATAACACCCTTTAGATTTTCTAAAAGTTCCTTAAATTCAGGATCTAATCAAGGACCACATACTGCAGTTGTGATGTCTCCCATGAGCTAATACCTGGATCTGTCTAGCTTTCTGTTTTATGTAGATATCTGACTTGTAAAGAATTCGGGCCAACTGTTTTATACAATGCCTTTCCATTTGGGTTTGACTGTTTCCTCATACTGGACTCAGATAAACATTTTAGTAGGAATATTACTTAGCTGATGTGGTGGCCTTTTCAGTGTAGCACAGCTAAAGGTAACGGATTCAGTTTGTTCATCACTGCTGGTGATAAATCATTGGGTTAGGATGGTATTTGCTAGGTTTTTCCATGGTAAGGGCACCTTTCCCTCTTTTCCCTTTATTTTTAATGAGTAATCTGTGGGTGACATTTTAAAAATTGTGTGACTACCCTGTTGTTCCCCCCCAGTCTTTAATCCAGATGTTTGGGTACTCAAGGATAAATGCTGCCTGGTGCAAATATTACTGTGTGTAAAGGAGTGTGTTTCTGTATCGACCATCTCTCCTAAATTAGTTGGCATTCTTCTGTAAATAAGGACTATATATTAAAATTTTAAATTCAGGAATATTTTTTTTTAATAGCCCTGGGATCGAAATCATACTTAGAAAAGGGTATCCTAAATCCTAATCCTTAGTCAGAGATTTTTTTTTTTAATTACCCCAAGTAAGTCAAGTACTTTCACAGTTGATTCTTTTGTTTCCTTTGGGCTTACAGTAGTGACGTACATTTTACCACGTCTCATTTAAAGCAGTGTTTGGTCTCTGTGCATTCACTAAGACACTAATCTTCACTACTAGTCTTTGACAAGTTTACACTGGTTGCAGAGATAAATAAAACGACTTTGCGCACTATCGTTCCAGGGGCTTTGATTGGGACTTTTTGTTTCTTTCTCCTGAGTTAACTTCTGATGTCAAAAGTGTTTAGAAACCAAGAGCTGGTCTTGAGAAGATAAACAAAATTGACAAGCCCCTAGCTAGACTCATCAAAAGAAAAAGAGAGAGGGCTCACATTAGTAAAATCAGAAATGAAAGAGGCGAAGTAACAACAGACTCCACAGAAA